GGTTCCGAAGAGTTTCACAAACTTTTATTCAATTTTGTCAAGAGAGAGTAAAGGGACATTATACTCTCTTGGTGTGTCGCCATTACAATATTCTGCATTGTTTGCTTTGAGGTAGTCGCGTGGACTTGATAACGTTTCAAACAATCGGTTAAAGTGTGCGGACGTCCGAGGAATTAGACTCCCGTTTAATTACAAAAAATGACGAGTGAAATTCGCATATCTCGGCCAACGCCCTAAGATTCCCTGTCGGTCTCATTATTTTGTCTTGGTTCCGGGGACTGAGATAGTGGAGCCGGTGCCGCGAAATGGAGAGAGGAGAGGGAAAAAACGAGGCAGGGACACTGCCTACCCTACCCTCACTATCTGAACGCCTGAAACAGGATACCTATCACCGAGCTTCCATTTTTCATATTTTTAGAGGCCTAGGTCAAGGCATGTTAGATTTCAGACCATTTAGATCCATCGTTCGCGCCAAAAACTCACCAATTAGCGCAAAGAACGATGATTTCCAGCAACAGCGGATGAGATCGATCCTCTGCCTAAAGAATCTAAACTGACATATTGGATTGTGCGGAGGTTTATGAACGTAGCGAAGTCAGTCACAGAAAAGGAAATTCAAAATAGTCTTTTTCTAACACGCTGTGATACCTACTGGGGGCCTGAATGTACTCTCCCTCCAGTGATGGACTTTTTATTGTTGCCTACCGTATGATATCTGGGAAACTTTCTTTAGTCTTGTTATAATATTGTATTGAATGAATGAATGAACGAATGAAGAGTCGTGGATGAGAGGACAACAGACGTGCCCTCTTATAATACATTTTAAGATGTGAACAGTAAGCTTGGACGTCAGCATACAAAGGCGCCCCTGGCCGCCGCTCTCAGTCCATTTGTGAGCTTACTATACCCACCCAACCCATGATGCAAATGATGTGATGTGTGAAGGTTGACCACAACACCGGGGCCTACGTCTCCTACTCTTTTCGAACAGTGGTGTGGGTTCTTTTACATCCCACAAGAACCAGATAAGTGTAAGTGCTGGGAGACGGAACCTACGGTTTTTCGTCCTTATGCGAGAAGACTAGAAAGTCTAACTGTTTGCAGATATCATTACAAAGGCAGCACTTTCTTCTCAGTTATTTAAAAGACCCTGAGTGTTGGTCCGGCCGGTGGTCGAACCCGTGACCTCTCGCTCAGCAGTCCGGCACTCTCCCAACTGAGCCGACCAGGTGGCGGTATAATATTATTAAAGGAGTGCCAGAAAGTTCAAGCTATTTTTTGAGCGTACTTTGAAAATTACAATACTGAAACTCGCTTTTTCGACGAGCCGTGTTCACATATAAGCTACGCAGACAACGTTTCCTCTCCTTTGGAACTGTTGAAGAAGGAAGAATTTAATACAAAGCTCTACCTAAAAGCACCGATGAATCATCTGTCAAAAAAGCACTTTTCTGTTGGGTTGTTCTTTTTAAGTTAGTTTTCCTATCTGTCTGGCGACTTTATAACTGTTAATGGAGCGATCAATTTGGTCCTCGTGTCCCTGACTTCTTCTACGCAAGGAAAATATAGGCATAACAAAGGCGGCGTAAACTGAACGGCGTCAAAGCACTGACCTGGATATAACAACTAAAGTTTTGAGAAAAGATCATTCAAATAAATTTTGTCCACAGTTAGGTAATTCCTCGGGATATCCTCGAGAGAAACGCTTTAAAACGTAAACAACACACTTTATTGAAGTAATGACCCTTAGCAACCCCTCTCTACCGAATGGTCTTGCTTTCGTGCACACGCCTCGAACTTCAAATAACCACGCCCCCCAACCACAGTTTTCACCCTAGCCATACATAGGTGAGTACATTACTATTTAAAGTAGACAGTATTGGTACTTAAAATGGGGATTGTTTAATAATAGAAAATAAAGATTTTTGGACGCTACTATTAATTTATCATCATCATGTATCTCATTCAAAAGTATCGAACATTTCTGTGACTTAATATCATTCCCTTTCCCCACACTAAAAATAAACGAAAGAAGAAAAAAAAAATTTACGACGCTTGTGTTAAAAGGATAACTTGGCAGACCGAATGTAACAACTTGTTACAGAACTGAATTATTTTTTACTCAATTATTTATCTCCTTTAACTCTCAACTTCCGATTTGTCTGTATGCACTTCTCGATCGTTTCTTTATTGACAGAACTCACACACCATTCTTAACCCATACTGTTCATTTGGTTATGCAGACAGAGATTACCGTTGTTGAAAAACACAAATAAATAAAAACACCTCACGCGAAGGGTCATGCGAAAAGTATAGTCACGTACATCTTGAACAAGAATGAGCGAGTGCGAGGGTGGTACCATCCAACGCCCTTGTGATATCCGTGCAGTGGCGTCTATCGCGTGATTTTTATTTTTCTCAAGTCATGGGTCCTTGTCGGTCACGATATCTGATATGTTGTTGCGCTATCAAAACCGTTTCTAAAATGGTTATTTCTTCCTTAGTTTTGATCGTTGACCCTTTCGCAAAGTCCGAACTATACCTCAAAGGAATATTTTCTAGTTGATGATGTAATCTAAAACAAAAATGAAAGTTTAGCAGTGATGGCAATTATGTAACCGTTTATTCAGGAAGGAAGTTATGGAAATTATTTCATACATAAGCTCGGATTCCTTTGTTCTTTTCGAGAGGAATATATTAGATAATCCCCGAATCAACTGTCTGAAAATCTGGGTGCGGCTTTGATTGTTTGAAGGGAAGAGCGGGGCTAATGAACACCTAATTAAAATGCGAGGGGATTATGTATTAGTATGCAAGGGGGATAAGTGACCCCCTTGCATGCAATCAAGTTATAATTAGCTTTTCATGAAGAACAAATTTGCAGGTTGATCGAAAGATCCTCGGTGCGAAAATTGAAATTCTCAACTGCTTGCTCGTTGTCTGCACCCGCAAATGAAGTTTCAAAATTGTTTTCCGAAAGCTCAATTGCAGTACCGCCACTAAAGCTGCTTTAGTAAAAAATCACATAACATTAACTCCTCGCTTCAGGCCGATAACCCTTACTAACTAACCAAAGGATCTAATGACATGCTCCCAAAAACATCAAGAGGAAAATATCTCAGAATACAACTAAGTAAACAGTAAAGTTGCAATGAGAGAAAATCTCCTTGAGAGGAAGTTATTGCGTTAAAGATTATTCTTCTGTGGGAATATGCTAAAGAGGGCGAGTGGCCGGGGGGGGAAGCGGGGAGAGTGATTCACATGTGAAAGAAGGGAACGATGCTTGTCGCGAATTTGAGCATGGCTCAAAGGTACCATTACAGCCAAGGAAGGGCTATGTCATAGATTTATTTCTTCTTTTCTTTTTTCACCTTTTCTTCATCTGCTTTCTCGCTATTTTTCATTCAGTTCACGCACATATTCTAAGGAGAAAATACCTGTTTGGGTAAAACCATTGGCGTTCCGCTTTGAACAAACTAAAAAACATCAACAAAGCCGGGTTGAATAAAGGAACTTAAGATTATTTAGTGCGAAATTTTCTGCAATTGTCCCCTTTGTTCCGAAAGATTTTCTTGCGCAGTATAGGCAAAATAAAAGTCGAATAAATAGGCGGATTAGTGCATCACACTTTTTGGTTATTTCTTCGTTTTATGAAGGACTAACACAAGACGACAATTTGATTGTTCTTTTTAAGAACCTGTCACGGAAATTTAATAAGACCGAATAAAAGCGAGGAAGTTTGAACAGCATGAATTCACTTTTAAAGTGAATTCATGCTGTTACTTAAAAGTGGTTTCGTAAGCCTCTCATTATTTGATTCCGTCTCTCTCTTCGGAGTAAGCTGCCAGCGGAGAGGACGTGACGGCTGAATTTCAGCCGGAACCGAAGGTGGATTAACGAGTGTGGGAAAGATAGAAAAGAAGGCTGCAAAAAGATTCCACTTAAAATGTGAAGTCAGCGCCTTGCGCAACTGAGATCTGGGTCCTCGGTTAGGGAATATCAGAGAGGTACGCTTTGGTCTTATTGGCAAAAATTAAAACGGTTGAAAAGAACAGTATACCCAAAATCCAACATTATAGCTAACAAACATCAAAGTTGTTTCCGCGACGCTCACAGACTAGATTGTTCACAGTCCCTTTATATGTAATTCTAGGTTGTTTTTGAAGTTTGAGGGGGAGGGGGGGGAAGACGTCTCCTGGAAAATTTGGGTCGGGTGAGGGGCGTTTATTCTGATGAGCTCCTGAGGTCCCCAATTACGGACCCCGGTTCAAATGGAAACATAAATGCTTGGTTTAAATTACTGAGTTGATTCGAATGGTTTTCAGTTTCAGACCAAAACTCTTTAATTTGGCACTTCACATACCTGTATAGATCAGGAAGTCCCTCCCTGGGACTGTTCATTGTCCCTTATTTTTCCGTGTGATTTTCGAGGCTCGAGAAGCCGCCATCTTAAGTTTCCGATGGTGAGTGACTAAAATGAAAACCCTCTCCAGCTTAGGCTCAGTTTCCTTCTAGGAGAAAAACAATAACAGGTAAAAATAAGGGTGTAAACAGTGCACTACCAAATACCCATGAGACTGAGGCAGCAGACGGAGTGGTTGGGGTGATGTTTTACAGCCAAGAATCGATAGTATTGGTCATCGCCCATTTCTGGTCACGGTTTCGTTTAGTTCACAGATTCACCTGTAATCAGGCATTTTTAGGGAGATGACATGATCACAGGTTAAAACAAGATTGACTTTTGAATGTTCCGTCTAGTAACGTGTTGAGTAACCTACGATCAGGCGTTTTATGATGAAGATTTTTGTAAAGAGGGTAAAAGAATGCCTTCCTTCCCGCGAGAGACTTGGAAAGATTTAGGTGATCGAAGGCTATGCTTTGCGTTACCACAGCGTCAAATACACCTCTGTCGATCTATTATATACTGATTACATTACCATAGCCTGCGAGCAGGCTCATTTGTGCGAGTTTCTCCGCCAAAATAATTTTCCCAGAATTCGCACAAGTGGGCGTGCTCGCAGGCTAACATTACCAGTGTGAACTAACCTGTATCCAAATCCTTATGAGTCCCAGAAAGAGTGAAGCAAGGAAAAAAAGGGCGGATCCAGGACATTTGTAGGAGATGTCACTACCTAACCTTACCCTCGACTAGAAAATATAGATTGATGGAGACACTAGACGGCACTCAGCGCGAATTTTTCAAAAAATGTTTAAGACAAAAATGTATGCAAAAGAAATGCCCATTGTTAGCATCTCAAACTGCCGGATTTTTTTGTTGCCCTTACAAGGTTTCAGACTTGACACAAAGATAAAATTTCACTCTTCTCCTTTAATATTTTTTATTTCGTCTTTAGGTTATTAAAAACTGAAACAGATATAGGAGAAAGTATTGCGAACGTGTTTCTTTTATTAGCGCTGGCCCAAGCTCGTTTTCCACAGTTCCCCAAATACTAAACGGTTGTTTGGAGGAGGAGTTAATTTGCAGTCGAGAATCCATAAATACGGACCAAAACTCTGAAGGCACTTTATACGATGTCCGGATTAAGAGGGGTATGTTTTAAAATTAAACATACACTTTTTACTGATTTGAACAAAATCGCAAAGACAAGCTTCAACAAACCACACAAACGTCTTTGAGAGAAAGGAAATTGGTTAAATACACTACTGTACTCAGTACTGTACTGTACATTGCTCGATCTATCAAGTACAAAACATTGCATTCGGTAGAACTCTGACATTCGTTGCCAAAATAATCAGCAATTGAAGGGAAGTCTTTGAGGTATCTCGACCACATCGACATGCATCCTAATTTTTTTATGACCGTCGCTAAACGAAAGCATTATTGAGGGGCGTAAGGGGGGGTCCGAAAACCGCAAAACCGCACAGAGAAACATTAAAATCCGCAATGACGCCTCGAAATTTACCTTTATTCAGAAAAACAGCAGTCCACCTGATCTAGTAAAAACGCAGTACCACAGACTCATCCAAAATTACGCGAAAACACGTCACCGGAAACTCTTACGCCCCCCCGGCCTTATTACCTCACACATAAAGAGGTGTTTCTGGGGGACTCCCATATGACAGTGACGGTAATGCTGTGCAGATTTTGGTCTCACAATGTTCAAGACGGAAAGTCAATAGTTTTACCCAAGGGCTGTGAGCGAGGGAAAAGGCCATAAGAAAAAGAAACAAACGCCTTTATGCTGTGTTGGAGTATGGTCTCCTTAATGGTTCAGATAAAGGCTGATTCACGCCCAAATTAGTCTACTATAGGGATCTGGTCCTTTCCGAAGAGCAACCCCCGTCTCTTTCGCATCGGAGCCCCCCACCCCGCTCCCTGTCCGTATTAGCAAGGTCAACGTCTGTTAATTGGACAAGAGATTAAAGTTCCGTCGTCCGCATTAACGCTCGAGAGGCCTTATATGAGCAGGGGGGTTTAATTTATATGCTTCCGATACTAGTAGGTGAGGTTCATTTAGAGACTATATCAGGGCTATTGCGATCTCCCAGGGAAAGTCCGTAAAAACGAGGCGTTCATACTAAGAGGGTTCCTGTTTATAGGATTGGACTGAAATCCATATATGGAAAGAGGAAGAAAGGTGTAATCCAATATACCTCTCAAAGTGTATTCGTTGCTTTTAGTTTGTTAATTGAATGTTTTATTTATATTGCTGCTCTTATTGCAAGCATCAAAGTATTATTGTACGTGACGTCTGACAGATTTCGGTAACCTTACCAACCCTTCAGCCATTTATGGGAAGTTTCAGCCTTGATCAAAGTTCATTCAGGGAGTGGCACTAAAGATTCCCGTTTCTTTACGTATTTGTTATTATTATTTTTTGATGGAATCGCCATTATACCGAGAGAGTGTTATTTTCAAAGTTACAGTTAGAGTACGAAGCACGAATTGATCTAAAAACGCTGTTTTTGGAGGCCCTGTTTTTCGGGGTATAAAATTTGGGTACCGGTTTTGTAATTGTCTCGAAACGTGGAAAGCCTTGTAGCGGATTTACCTAAAGACGGACTGGAATAATCAAGTATTTGGAACCGTTATTGTTTTTTGGTACTAGTTCGGGGATTTGAATTAATTTTTTCATTTGGGATTTGGCGTAGCAAAAAATAGAAATTAGTTGAAAATTACTTAGAAAGAAGTCCCCATCCTTCTATCCACTAACAACGTACCTTATCACTTTCTGTGAAGTCACTTAATTTAGCAGAGAACCGACGCGAGACTCAACGCATTTTTTTAACCACCGAACGTCTGGGTAGCTTTTCTATTTCTTTTACTAAAGAAACTTGGATTAGCGAGTACCTTCACGTGCTGAAATTTACCAGTTTAGCACTTAATATATGAGAACCACTTCAGGCTGACAGTTAAAAGAAGTCCTCATTCTAAAAAGTTCCTAGAATCAGAGAAAGACAATGGTGAAGACTTAAGTGTGCTTTAAGGGCCATTCAAGAACACACAGAAGACTGACAAAACATAGATGCATGCAACAGCCGTAAAACTGTTTAGGTAGTATTACAGTATTTTTATTGTTTCCTTTGCCCAATTACAGTTATTTGGTAATGTTTAGTGCAAAGTACAATACCTATTACTGTGTTCACGTAATTGGTAAGAACATGTAACTGCCCGTTAACTACTCAGCCATTAAAAATGACATTAATATAAAAAAAACATTCACGGGTTCTTTTTGTGCCTTAAAAAACTGAAATATTCTCCTCTCGGGAAAGATAGGGGAAAAAGAACAAGCACACTTACAGTGACATAACCTCAGCAAAACGAAACTAGCGGAAAAACCGGAACTAGTCACCGACATTGAATAACCTCGATTCTGATGTTTTTTCGTAACATTACATCACTCATACTTATAACTTGAAGGTGCTTTTGCATTGCAAATTCAGTTCTTACCTATAAGACTTGATTATAAAGTGAAACGTAATCTATGCTTAAAATTAACGCAAAAGACTTATGTTGTTGGAAAAGTTAGAGCAGGACGGACCTCGAATGACCTTCACTTGCCTTGTTTAATAAAATTTGTCACACCTTGCCTCTGCCACTCCCAAGTTGCTCACTGTCTTACAGTCTTTTAAGCCAAAAAAACTTAACGTTATTCAAAGAGGGTCTCTAAAAGGAGATTTGTTTAATTGCTCCTTTGATTGTTGCCAACGATAACTTTTCGTTTTTTTTTCGCTCAGACAATTGGCTTTCACGTCACGCACGTCACGTAGATCCCGTGCTTCTGCAGGGTCACATGACTTTCTAAGTACCACCTCCTTTATGTGTTCATGCATTTTGTTGTGCGTGGCAGCCATGAGCGTTGATAGTTTCTCCGCGCTTTACTGGGGACTCCTCGAGTTCAAAGTACAATCTGCTCAGCTATAAATACAACATAGAGGCTTACGTCTTGGGATATACAGTTTTTCGAAGAGAGAGGCCATTCCCGTAGCCGTCAATGTCAGACAAACTAGCGAATGGTCTGAAGCAGGCCGAGAGCTCGAGCAGAAATGGTAATAAACAACTTGATCGTTTGTTATCTGTAGTAGATCACGCACTCGTTATTTAAGTGATAGAGAAGTCTTATAACCTCTCTTGTTTAATCTTTGTTGCAGGAGATGATGGCGAAAACGGGGCCTGCTTGATTTGTGGCGATAAAGCGACGGGCAAACACTATGGTGCGTCGAGTTGTGATGGCTGTAAAGGTTTCTTCCGACGAAGCGTCAGGAAAAATCACGTTTACGCTTGTCGGTTCCAGAGAGTTTGTGTGATCAACAAAGACAAGCGAAATCAATGCCGCTTCTGCCGGTTGAAGAAATGTTTCCGAGCTGGAATGAAGAAGGAAGGTGAGACGTTTTACCAAACGTAATCTTGTAAAGTTGTGTTTGCCCGTTCGTGTATTGATTGATTGCTATTTCGGCGAACTAGCCGTTCAGTGATGGATAACCCGATATATGATTAAGCCGTACATCTCTTGAGTCTGAATCTGTCAAGTACACGGTGGTAATGTCATTTGATTCCATCGCAATCAATAGAAAATCGGTGTTGAAGAAAGTTTGTAAGGACAAGCACCGGATGACAACCGTTAAGCTTAAAATCTTTGCGTGTTTGCAGTTTGTTGTGAAAATGCAAATCACCAGATATTTTGTTCATTGACAAAAACATAAATTAGTACAGTGTTATGGACAGGAAAAGAAAAAGCGGTCGAAACGGTGCTTTTGGCTATTGTAAGTTGATCAGTTGTGTAAACAAAAAATCAACAACACCAAACTCAAATTTTTTACTAGGATGCATGTCCTGAGCATCTTATTAGCACTGTCATACAACTTGGAAACTTACACGAAACTGGGGAAACAAACTTTGAAAAAAGCTTTAGTGATATGCCTGGGATAAGCTTATATTCTTTGTGTGTTTTTAACATGTCTGTTCATCTCAGTGTCATTGTTTGTGTATGAAAAATATATTCTCCCAAAAATTAAGCACTCATTAAAATCAATTTATCATTTTCCAGGTTTACCCAATAAGTAAACAATAATAATTGAGGGTATAAAAACAAAACAAAGTAAACAGTCTGGAGTGAATGACTTGGACAAGTCCCTCAAGGGGAAAATAGTGAATGGGGTCCATTTCTTAAAATTGTTCAATCATGATCAAAAGTAGCCTGCAAAAACATCCGTTTCTCGTCGCTAAAAGAATTCAAGATATTTATTGAAAGGAAACTGTAAATAATGTTGTTATGTAATAGTAATGTTGCAAAAAAAATGTTGACAGCAACATGAAAGTGGTGTGATTCTCAGCCATGCATCATGACATTTTCATAACACATGTGATAAAGAGCCAGCAATAATTTCAACAGAAATTGTTTTTAGTGGTTTCACTGACATTAAAAATAGTATATAGGAAATACTTGTTTGTCACGTCATAACAGTGTTGTTCCAGTTTTGAGAGAAATTGCATTCAAGGGACAGACAGCTAGAGAAGCAAATCTAAGTCAAAGACACGGCCATATAAACAAGCAAAAGATAGCAGTTATTCAATATCATGAATTAGAAAATATGAAATAAATCATATGATTCAACATTTATATTACCTTACTGCTTTGATTACTGTCATCAAAGCAACAACAAATCAGGCAATTTTATTTTCTGCTGTATGGAGATTATTCAACAAGTTTTCTCTTGCTGAAGTAGCTGGTAATTGAAATTGTGAATTTTGGCCTGCCAGTGTCAAAATACTCACTTTGGCAAGCTATTCTCTCGTTAAACCCTGTGGAATGTTGAAGTGCGTGATTGAGGTATGACAGGGGCATGTTGAAGGATGGGCAGAGGATGGACCGAAACATTGCACCATGAGCTGTACATGTGCTGCATATATACATCTAAATACCCTCATATATTTTCATAACTTAGCAGGTACTCAATTTGAAGTGGATACTAAAAGATGAATTAATTTGCATCAGTGATACCCTTATGAATGGATGGATAAATAAAAAATTGTCGAAAGGAAAAACAACATTTTTTGCATATTTTTACGTATCTAGGTAGTTAAAATTCACTCTGTGAAATGTATCAGGCACGGATTCATTAGAATGATTTCCTCTATTTTTATAACAGAAGGCATTTTCCTGAGTTGCTTGACCAATTTCATAGCTGCAGTAGTGTTAAAGTTTCATATATCTACTGTACATAAGATGATTTCTGTTATGATTCTCACAAGTTCTGTTTTTGATCAGTGTTATGTTTAGCATCACACTGTCATGTTGTTTGGATAGAATTATAATGTGATAGAACCATTTCCATTTTTCCAAATGATAGTTATATTTCCTATTAGTGTCGTGCTTCTCTTACTTGTTGTGTTCCTTTGCTGGTCGTCTACAGGACTTACTTTTGTATGTAACTTTTTTACTTGCAACTTACAAAAATCCCCGCAACCAAATCTTTGGAGGTCACGGGCTTGTGAAATTGTCAACAAAATATGATATTTCAAAATTAGAGTAGAACCAATGTTTTATTGATTTGACACATCCACAGAGCATAAAATCAGACAGCCAAATACGGTTGTACTTGTGTATTTTACTCTTTGAGCTTTCTTTTATTTGATGATATAGCATGAAACACAAGTTGATAGCAAGTCTTTTCATATATCAAAGCTGGAGCATAAAGCGATTGCCATTAGCCAGTAGGGTAGGCAATGTCAGTTTCTATTTTTGTATTTAGTTTTTCATGAATTTCTCTTTTGTTCAAAAGCCAATTCAACACAGTTTTCTGGAATTGCATTTCACGTGATCTCCTTCAGGTTTCAAAGATTAGTATCTAAACTCGTGCGGATGAGTTGAAAATAAGCCAATAATTCAGCGGCCTCGTGGAAAAAGGGTGTAGGTGATGATAGTTCCTTGAAGTCCAACTTGCTCCCCATGAGCTCTATTTTGAGACAATTATGTAACAAACTAAGTTTTGGCCTGTTTTGGCCAATAAAACTTCAGTGAATTCAAGTTCTGTAGGTTACTACTTTTTCTAGAACTCAGGAACAACTGGCACAGATGACGGAATAACAATTGATTAGTTTTGTTTTAGTGGAGATAATAAACCACAAAGTCAATTAATAATGCTTTGCTTGAACTAATCCATTTTACATGCTATATGATAACCAGACTTTGTGTTAGAATACAACTTTTTAGGAACAGTTTGGATATTGGGTCGAAATCAAGAATTAAACCAACATTATTTTTACAGAACCCTTAAGTTGTCGTAACATTAATATCCATGTATATCGTAGCATTAAGCATTTTACATGCTATATGATAACCAGACTTTGTGTTAGAATACAACTTTTTAGGAACAGTTTGGATATTGGGTCGAAATCAAGAATTAAACCAACATTATTTTTACAGAACCCTCAAGTTGTCGTAACATTAATATCCATGTATATCGTAGCATTAAGCCCATATTTTGGCCATCATCTGGAATTTCAAGGTGCGGACACATCAGGATGTGATCACGTAACAAATCATAGACACCTTTGGAGGGGTGTGTAAAGTACTGCAACGAGTCCGAGATCAACAACTGGTCACGAGCTGGAGCCGATTTTCTGTCCGATTTTTACTGTCGTTCTTTCTTTGGGAATTTTCATGTTTTCATTTAATTTCTGGGTTTTTATGGTTACAGCCATTCTAGAACTGTACACCTATATGCCCTCCTTTAGTTGTTTAAAGGGGCTGCGTCATAAAGATTTAGCACCACTTGATATTCCAACAAAGTTGTTTTAATCGATCACCGTCTTCATGGCAGTGTTTACCATTGTGAGCAGACTAATTCAGGTGGCATGCATGACCAGCCTGGGTCGCGTGTCCCTGAAGCAAGCCTCATTTGAGATTTTTGGCTGTAAATATGTACAGTCGAACCCCGCTATTTCGAAGTCCCAATGGAAATGAAAAAAGTTCGAAATAGCGGGGCTTCGAAATAACCGGGGAAGAGTAAAGGGGAAGGGTAAATCCAAGGGCATTCGATCTTCCTTCGAAATAGCGGGGACTTCGAATTAACCGAGTTCGAAATAGCGAGGTTCGACTGTATGTATATCACCAAATTTGCCTCAATTTCATGTCCCTCGAATCCAAGCCGTTTTGTTTCAACCAGTTGATTCAGAATTACACTCCAAAGGGAAAAGTAAATGCTGTATCCTCTAGAACACTTTACTGTTGATAAAACTTAAGGTGGAGAAATACTGTTTCGTGTAGAAAGCCACATTTTTGCAAGCAAAGGATGTGAATGGAAGTTAAGGTAAAAAATTCTTGTGAATTGAAGGGATATGTTTCTCATAATATTTGAAGCAATTCCTGGAACTCTGTGGTAAATAAATTCAGTCTTTTGGCCAAATTTGTATTTAGCCAGGCTTTGTTGTATTTATTAAAGCTTAATTGATAAATTGCTTTAGTTGAGCTTTTCTGGAACGTTTAACAAGGTTTGTTGTCCCCTTGGTAGTGAAATGTTTTTACATGCAGAAGCGAAGATTGAAAATGATTTGATGCGCTCGTGAGGTGTAATGAACCAGTTTAATATTGAACTTGATTGGAATTTCACTCATTCACTCCCTCTATCACTGGCGTGCTCTAAACCTTATCGTGGACAGGTTTCAGTCAAATAATACGCTGATTTATTCTCACAGACTTTTATACAATTGTATCTTGATACACACACTTTGTTTCACCTACGGTATGTGTCGCATTGCATTACTTGCATGGTTGTTTGTCACTGGTAGTGTCAAAAATCAAAATGAATTGCAAACTATTTGAAATGTCATGCTTTGCTCGCGGCACTTCACTTTCCATTGGAAACTACTAGTTTTTTAGATGTAGGGGCGGAGCTAGGAAGTGTAGTTACTGGGGGCCCAACTTGTTCGCACTGTTGAATAAAACAATTAATGTGGCTAAATGTAATTTGGGCAAAGTTAGCCTTGATGCAATGCTGGCCAGCAGTTTTCTTAGCAATACTGGGGTGGCCCGATGCCTTTAGCGAGGGCACCTCATGGCTTGTATTTGCAGTTGCTTGCCTGCAGTTCTTTGCAAAGTGTATTTTGCTGGAGCCTCGCCTTGGTTGCCATTTTTGTGCAGTGTTTTTTTCCCAGCTCTCCCTTCCCATTTTAGTTTTGTGCCATTTAAGTATTTGGTCTTTAAGTATTCCACTCAACAGTTCAGTGTGACGGTGCCTTGTGGGCGTCGCTCGTTGGGTTGCCATGGATACCTCCTTCCTTGTGCTAGAGCATTGCTCAGCTCCACCAACTTTGTAGGCACCAGTGCCCAAGCTCATCTATTGGTGATGAGTTTAATCTTCCTTCCATGTTTTTTACGTGTTACTTTCTGTTTGGTATACTCTTGCTGGTGGTTCTGTTGGTCGCCTGCTTAGCGTTTGAAAGATGACAAATCATCATTGTAGTTATCATAACCTGTGTATGGTGCTTCTTGCAGCTGTTCAGAATGAGAGAGACACTATCTCAAAACGGCCACGTGGAGAGGAGACTGAAAACAAGCATGGCTTGACGACCAGTGTATTGTTATCAGCTGAGATTCTTTCACGTCCTGCAACTTCACCTCCAGGTAAATTGTACTGTACAACTCATTTAGCTTAGTTTCAACGACATTTTGAACATTATTTTTGCAAGCCCAAGGTCCACCTTGGGTGTTGACAACAACAACCTGGATATCCTAAGGATCAGCTTGTGAAGAATTTATGATTGATTATTGCAGGAAAAAAATTAGAGTACTACATAATATTTCTGGTGACAGCGATATTTTATTCTTTTTATAAACCAATGCAGAAAGCATTTCTTTGGAGAAAGAGGCAAGTTACGGTGACATTGTAGAATCAATGCGGCAACAACTTCTGGTATTAGTAGAGTGGGCAAAACACATCCCTGCATTCTGTGAACTGTTGCTTGATGATCAAGTAGCTTTACTGCGAGCACATGCCTCTGAGAACTTATTACTGGGTGTTTCAAGACGTTCGTTAAATTTAAAGGATGTTTTATTACTTGGAAATGATCTTGTATTGCCACGGACAGCTGGAGATCCTGAAATGCGGAGAATTGTAAATCGTATATTTGATGAACTTGTTGAACCCATGAAAGAGTGGAATGTCGATGACACAGAATATGCTTGTTTGAAGGCAATTGTGTTCTTTAATCCTGGTAAGTTGTTTAAGAATTTAAGTTTAATTACTTACATTAAGCCCTGTAGTCAAGAGTAAAAATGAGTAATTAGGAGCTGATTCAAGTACTTCCACAATCTTGGCGAGAATCCATTACCCACATTTGGGGATAAGAATGTTTAACTACTTAAGAGTAACAGACAACCCGGCCCTGTTAACAAGGGGACTTAATCCTGGAGTCAATATGGAGCGACAAAATGATCACTACTGAGCAGCACAAAGCAACGCAAGTATCTTGTTAACTTTTTTTATTTTTCCAACTGGTTTTGTCTAATCACACAGACTTCATCGGGATGTGTAACAAGATAGAGCTAAGGAACTATCTTGTTATACTCCCTGATGAAGTCTGTGTGATCAGACAAAACCCGTCGGAGAAATGTGACCTTCTCCAGGAAAATGTATACCAACACTTTTCAGTTAAACGGGCAAAAACTAACAGCTGATGAACGGCTTTTCAAAGCATTTTAATGGTTTGATTAATGCTCTTAACGGGTGAGCTAAAATTTCTAACAGCTTTGGAAAGTGTTCGAACTGGTTGCCTTGATTTTCTGAATGGTTTTCTTAACGGGTTGACTAAACGACATGAACGGCTCACATGATCAAAGTTTTCAACAATTGTTGTTTGGATTCTTCTCTGCTATCAATTTTGCCTCATTTCTTCATCTTATTATGTTTGAAATGTTCACAGAAATTGCCTTTCAATCAAAACAAACCGCAGCGGTTGTATTCATCCTTGCTTAGTAACCAGGCAAGTGTTTCGAAGCATGAAATGTTTTTCACAGGCCATAGGGTATTTTCTTACTAATCCAAACATTCTCTCTGTTGTAGATGCGAAAGGTCTTACTGATGCCCAAAAGATCAAGGCATTAAGATTTGAGGTACAGACTATGCTAGAGGATTACATTGCCAAGGACCAGTATGAGAGCCGTGGCAAGTTTGGAGAACTACTTCTTATGCTTCCCACCATGCAAAGCATAGCGAAAGAGATGATAGATCAGGTTCAGTTTCACAGACTCTTTGGTGTGGTTAAAGTTGATAACCTTCTTCAGGAGATGATTTTAGGAGGTTGGTGATGCATTTGGTCAAACAGAGTCTAAGGGATGTGGTCCCACTAAGATTGTGAATTTTCACTCGCCTAGGGTGCATCACTGTTATAGGGTCCAGGGCTGTCATGAAGTTTTGAAGCAGTTGTAGCAAATAACAGCTCACAAAAATTTAGTGTCATCTTTAGCTTTTCACTTTGATCACCAGTAACATCAAGTGAGCTCAGCCGTAACAGTTCTGCAGGACTATTAATTACCACTAATACAAAACACAAAGCAGAGTAGAGTACAATGTAGTTAATCATAAGTCCAAAGCTTTAACCGTTAATATTAAAATACGAGTTCTCCTTTCTTGTCCCATACCTTTCCTTTAGAAATGGTGGGGGAAATTATTTTGTTTAAATATCACAAGAAGTAATCCTTGGTGATCATAGACTTAATTCTCATAAGTTCCTGAATGGTTAGGCATTGGCATTACAAAGAGAAATTTGGTAATGATCACATGAGAGCTTAAAGGGTTCAACAAAAATATGTTTTTCAGATGGTCCAGATTAAGTAATATGGCGAACTTGTATATTTTCAGGTCATTGTTGTGTCCTTTTAGGTTTAATTAGTATACTTTCTTCACTGTAGCAATTTGTAGGCAGGTCATCATGACAGAGTGTAATAGATGCCATTTTTCTGTCTTGGAGTAACAGTTTCCATAGCCAATAGCGTCAAGCAAAATAATGAGAATCTCTTAACTTAGTAACACATTAACTTGAAAATGATATAGTAACATATCTGGGTCAGGTGAATCAGTTTTATCTGACTCTAGCCATCAAAGGGCATTTGGATGTAACAATGTCTGTACTGTGTTGATAGAGTATGGATGAGCTGTATTCTAAAAGTCCCAGTCTAAACATGATTATCCATTCAAGCTTGACCTGCCTAGAACCAGCCTGTAAATACAGCTGTCTTTTGCTGCTCCTCACCACTGGGGATGTTTCACGGGAGAGACGTTTGTAACGGGATGACAGAAATGCCATACTGATGATATTAATCTGTCCATAGCCCTTATTGGTCTAAAAGGTCAAATTTAAATGTGATGAATCTACTGCAAAACAGTCAATCTACTTGCAACATTGATTTTTGCGGCCATTCATTTGCATTAGAATTTTGGCACCCTGTGATGACCAGATTAATAGACCCTCCCACCTTTTTTTTCAACTTTTGACAAGGACAATTTAGGGAAAATCTGTCAAAACTGCTTGAGAGAGCACCTTTAAATTAGTAAAATTGCTTAGTTTGATAGTGAATGGTTGAAAACTAACTGAGATATACTCCTCAAAGTTGCGAAAGTTTACAGATGTTTGTATGGTGTTGGGCACAAACTTGCTCCCCACCATGCAAATGTCTGTAAGTTTTAAGTTTTTTCATCTTTACGGAGCTATGTCTTTGCTCACATAAGATGTATCACTTTCAAACTTGGCAATTGTACTAATTTCCAGTGGTGTTGACAGATTTTAAAAGGGTCTATTATGTAAAAAATGGACTTACATTCATCAGTATGGCATTTTTGTCGTTCTGGCGCAGACATCTCTCCCTCGAAATGTCCCTGGTGGCTAGGAGTGATGAGAGGTGGCTGTATTTGCAGGCTAGCCTAGAACATCCATAAATCTAAGCTTTCTTAACCCTTGATTGAAATGACATGACAGAACACCTCAAGATGAGGCCTTGAAAGAGATATCAACAACTCTGGTTTCCCAAGGAAGCAGCTGGGAAGACTGGCTGAGATGGAGAGTGATGGTGTTAATGGCCCACGCTCCAGCAACAGCTATAGTCCAGAGTGTTTAAAACAGTACTTTTATGCATTTTTACAGGAACCAATATTGCAGAGCAGCTAGATGCAGCAAATGTGGTACAGATGGCCTGTCCGCCTCCCACATCTCCAGTAGGTACTCTCCCCCCTGCAAACCATGACATGTACAACCAAAGTATGGTACCTCCAGTTAATGTGCCTGGATCTGTTGCTTCAGTGCCAATGCAGTCAGTTGCCATGCTTCAAGACAGAAAATTTGTCTCGGCACCGTCAACCTCTCTCCCTGGGGGCGTCATTCCAAAGACAGAGAGATTTGACTCATGACAGTTAATTGAACTTTAGTGCATGCTTAGGTGGGGTGCGCAGTGTGTTTAAAAGGAGTCTGCTAAATGAAATAAGAAGCCACTTTCCTGTGGTTTGAGTTTTTTACTGGTGCTTAACATGTAAGGCAAGGGTAACAGCCTTAAATGTGATGGGACTGAAGAATATAGCTTGTCCACTTGTAGATGAATTACTACAAAAGCGTGCTCAGTAAACTTAAGCAATGGATGCATTAATGAAAATGAAGGGGCAGCTTAAAGAATAGCTTCATGATCAACATACTAATACAACTTAGTAAGATTCGTTATAGAATAATAATTACCAGGGCTATAATTTTGTATCTGTCCACTGAGCTAGAAAGCAATGGTTAAAGTAAGTTTCAAGGTTCTGTACGGTTTTTTTACAGTACCCATCTGGTTATTATCTTCCCTTCAGTTTGACTGAGGACATTAGTTTAAATGCAGATGCATTTTCCACAGTTGCTCCTCGCGAGCAACAGTACATGTAGTAGCCAGATATGTTTCTTTGCAGTAGTCTAAAGGACTGTTAACAGTGGTCATATTGTCCATTTATTGTTCAGTCATGTAATGCTAAGGTGTGACTGTAGGGTACAATTTATGTTTTAGGTCAAGGAATCTCAATTTTTGTAAGCAACACCCTTTAGTGTGGTAAGAAAATTGAAATACTTAGAGCTTTAAGAAATAAATAATAGTTCTCTTTTTCTGAGCGAGCAAGAAGAGCATGCTAGAAGACTGTGTAGATCACCCCACCATAAAGACAAAAATCATTTTTTCGAAGATTTGCTTACATTTAACACCATTGTACCTGAAGTTGCAACTGCTGGTTTCCATTTGAGTAAGAATTAATAGTGAATGGTAGTCCCCAAATCACAGCAAACAATAATAAAATTATTTATCCAAACAGTCAAAATAATTTATGGCACTCCATGGTGTGACTAGCCGTGACTGTCAATTACATTATTTTTGTACGGTAGCATCATGGACACGTACTCAGTAAATTTTTGCAGCCTAGTCGCGGGTGATCTCAGTGTGTTAATCCTGGACCATGCACCATGAGCATCATGAACTGGAATAATGAGGCTGAAGAGAGTGCCTTGAAGCTAGGCTGAAAGTTTTGGCTTCTGAAAAAGTGCAATCTTGGCTATTGTCTGTGATTATCAACATGGAAAACCATCTTTTGCAATAATATTTGTGGGCTCTTTCTTTCACAGTCTTGTTACTGTGATTAATTTATAGATCTAGAATTAAGCAATGAGAACAAATCACATGCATATACGTGTAACGGTTTGAAATACTGTTTTTCTTATTGGTCATTCAAAAGTTATTCAGAAATTCATTCCTGAACAGTTTTACTAGTTGTAGAAATAGTACCTGCCAACTTTTTCCAAATCGGAGGTCTGAGCTTTTTAACCCAAGTTTTCCAGGATTTCAGAAGAGAATCTTTAACATTAAACATTCAGACACCCAAAGTTTGAGGAGTTTCTATTATGGTTTTTTTGAGACTGTGAGTCCAGCCTTTTTCCTTGTGAGCCCCAAATTTTTGTAACTTTTTAAACTGCAAGTCCAAGACTTTTAATTAATTAACAGACTCTTACACTTCTGAAATAAGCTTAAGTCTTTCAGATTTCTTCTGAAGCTGTCAATATAAGCTTATCGTGGCCTCCAAAAAATTCAGAATAGGCTTCTTTCTCAATCTTAAAATTAGGAAATTGTAAAGAAGCATCTGTCCTATTATGTAAACAAACATCGGATCAAAAGCAAATCGTGACCCCGAAATGTGAAGGTGACTCTGGGAAGAATTGAGACTGAATTTGGTGAAAAACTAAGATATCAAGACCCTTCAAATCAGCCAAAATTTCGTGAGGCTGTTCCTAGAGAGACCATTCACCTTTCCAAGTGTTCAAAAGACAAACATACGCTTTTTGACAAGGTTCTAGATATAATTTTTATGTTTTGAACAGCAATCACAAGTCAATGGTCATAATTTTCAGCAAACTGTTAAAACTCATGCTAACTGTTAAATCTGTGGACGAAATTCTGTGGTGTTGCAATGCAAAAGAAATCTTTTTGGCAGAACTTTTGAGCTTGGGATTTTACATATTTTATTTTTTAAATATATTTAAAAAGAAATTGGATCTTTTTGGTGAAGTTTTCGTTTAGTCATTAATATAGCCTAGCCTGCCTGAGGTGTGAGAGTTGGCAGGTACAAGATACAAAATACAAGTCATTCATATGTGACTAATAAAACTTTGATCTGGTCAGGAGATTTATAAAGATCCTTATATTTTGGTATTGGTAGAATTAAGGCATTATAGGATGCAACTCGTTCAGGTAGGCAAGATACAATTATAGCTGTTTTAAAATTGTTCAGCTAGCTGATCTATTAGGAGTTGCTTTACATACCGTTCAGGCTGTAATTGCACACATACAGCTGCAAATCTTTGAGGTTGTGAAGCTAAATGATAAAAGGGATATTTTGTTTAAACTGTGCATACATGTACTGTAATGTGTTAGTGTTTCATGTAGGTCTAATAGAGTTGTGATTAATGTGAGACATGCAAGGTCATGCAGGTTTTTGGCAAATATTATGTCAAATATGGCAATTATTGTTTAAAGCATCCTTCCCAACAGTAATGTTGTATACCTTTAGTTGTTGTCTAGTTAGTAACTGGCTTGCAATTTTCCAGTGCAACGAACGCTTCCACTTTTTCTGTCATTGTGTGACCGGATGAAATATTTTTGTTATGATACATATTTGTACTCACCATCTGTCTTCTCATTGGCCAGTACTGGAGCCTACAGTTAATTTGAAAATCAGTCCAGCTTACACGATCAGTTAGTTATCTGCGAGCAGATTACTGACTGATCGTTAAGTTGTAGTGCCATGCATGATTTCCAAGAGCAATGTCGAATTGGTGTCCTTATTTTCTTAAAAACAATGTATAACTAAACAAATGATTTGATTTGGTATTTGTGATATCCAGAATAATGAAGGTCAAAGTGTTATCAACCTGAGCTGATAACGCTTAAGAGACCTTGATTATTTTAGATATCACTATAACTGAATCTATTAATTGTTTATTATCAGTCACCTTCCAATCTTGCTTTTAGTTTTTGTCCCCTTCAATCATTTTGAACTTTCCCAGCTGCTTAGTAATTGATACTGATTTACCCTTCATCTTCCATGATCACAAAAACAATAGTAATATTATTGTGAATATTTGACGAAATGGCCCCAAACTGCATGACCTTGCAGCGATTAGTTTAGATCTTATTAACCGCAGTTAACTCCCGTGGTTACGTAAGTCTACGTGAGTGTGTAAAAAAGGTCTTGGTGGCGGTCTTTTCAATCATTGTGCTACCAGTTGTACATAGGAAACCAATAAAAACTTATTTGGAACATACTGCTTGTTAACTGTTGTTTTGTTTGTTTTCCTGTTTTTTGCTGGTTGTCATTACCTTCTATATTATCCCCAGTGGGTCTTAGGGGCTGGTCGTTTATCATCTTTGGCAGTGGTGGTGGGGGGGGTTGGCCATTTTATGGGGGGGGAAGGTCATTTTCAGAAACATTATTGGTTTTGGGAGGTCATTTCCAGGTGTGAAAGCATTAACTGGGGGGTCATTTTTATAAATTTTATTAAAGTAGTAAACAAGCAGTAACAATTAAGCGTAAATTGATTGAATGTAGAAGCCATGAATAGTAACGCCAATGTTATAAACATGACTAGATAAATTATGTGGTGAACTTCGGCACAATTTGCTGGTAGAATATTTGTAACTTCCACAGCAATCTGGTGGGAGTCACGTTCTCTTACTGGAATCTAGACTGTGAGCAGTATCTTTCTTGTTCGAAAATCATAGCGGAGCTCTCTCGCGCGCTAAGCGCGCCCAGCGGAGCACCAAGTATGGGTAAGAAAATTTGGTAACTTATGCATGCGAGAAATTTTGGTAGTCACGTGACCGTACGCTCGCCCGACCGACCGTCCGTGGGCACCACAGGTATACCAATGTAAAATAACTCAATCAACATTCAGGTATGGCAACTTGAGGTTATTTTGGCGGGAAATCGCATAGCCACCCGCGTCTTGTGAAGCAGAGACAACTAAAGAGTCAATAAAGATGAGAACGGAAATTGTTTCTGTATCCAGTTGTCTAAAGTATTAGCGGAGCTCCACCTGCGCGCGAAGCGCGCGTGTGGGCGGAGCCCCATAGCTAAGGAAATGTGGTAATCTACCCATCCCAGAAAATTTGGTAATCACGTGACCGTACACCGAGTGAGCGATCGAGCGAGCGAGCGACCGTCCGTCCGCACCACAGGCATACCAATGTAAAATAACTCAATGAACAGGTATGGGAACCCAAATGCAACTCAAGGTTTTATTTGGAAGGAAATCACATGGCCGCCGGGACTTTTAGAAAGAAAAAAGTAGTGTCTTTTTCGGCGTTATTTTGTATGTGTACACTAACGTGGATAACAGAGAAAGAGCTAGAGCGAGTTATTGAAAATTCGTTGGAAGAAAAACATGGAAATTCAAAGCGGCGGTGAGAAAATAAGAAATGCTAGCGGCCAGCAAGGTGAAAATGAGCGGCAGTGAAAAATAAAAGCGAACATGAACACTGGAAACAAAATATTGGGTAAGCACATACGACAATTTCTCGATAAAAATAGTGTGTAACTAGGAAGTTTGACGTTTTAGTCGTACAAAACAGTGTTGTCGTCGTGCAAATCAACGGCAAGGGAAAGACAAAAGAGCGTGCTGCACGTGCAAATTTGCTTTTTGCTAATTAGAAGAAAAAGTGTGCTGCACGTGCAATTTGTTTTTTTGCTAGATCTATTCACGGTCTTGAAGCCATTTTCATTGTCGTCCCCTGTTTAGCGTTACACGATTTAATTTTTTTTGTTTACACGTATTATTAACCAGAGCTTCGCTTTTAGCCCTGGCTAAATCTATATATTAAGCTTAGATTATTTGTCATGTCCACAGATTTGGAATATAGAGCGAGAGAAAGACAGAGAAAAAGAGAACGTGGGCGACAGGCCAGCGAAGTTCAACCAGAAAAAGAGCGACAGACAGCTAGAGCGAGAGATAAAAGACAAAGGAGACATTTTTTCGTTGGAAGAACAACATGAGAATTTTGTAGCGGCGGTGGGAAAATAAGAAATTCTAGCGGACACCAAGGTGAACATAAAGGTGAAAAAAAATGAATAAGAACACGTACGATATTTCCTCCACAAAACGGGTAACCAGGAAGTTTCAAGCTGTAGTCGTGCAAAACAACGGCAAAGAAATGTACCAAAAGTGTTAGACCTATTGTTGCTTTTTCACCGTTCTCTTTTCCTTCGCCGCTTAGCATTACACTATTACATATTTTGTTGGAGCAAACTATAAATATTATCGAGAGCTTCGCTTTTAGCCCTGGCTAAAACTATATATTATAACGGAAAGAAAGAGACTGCTAACAGTCTAATTGGAATCTGTATTGTTTCATCATTCATTTGCCCGTTTCTTCTTGTAGCCTTTTTTTGCTGTGGTACGTGTAGAACAATGGCGTGATACTGTCTTGTGGAGTCCTATCCAGGAATTTTCACCTATAAAAGCCTTACTTTTCGTGCCCAATGATGAGGATCATTTGCCAATAATCCATCAAAACCGCTGAAAAGAGCGCCTTAGCACTAGTAAACTTATAACCAAGTTTCCATCATTTCAGGCCCTTTCCAAGTACCCTTGTCTTTTTAATAAGAGATTAACTCAGGGATCTCTCTCCCATATGACTGCTTTAATTTCCCCTCACGAGCACTCACTGTGACACTGAAATTTCTAGTAACTATTTTATTTACACAGTTTGTTTATTAGACTGAAGTATGGGAACAAACTTTCCGTGAAAAGATTTCTGGGATCGTGTGGGAGGGTAAGACCTAGTAAGGTTTGTCCACCCTACCATCCTAAAATTTGTTGTTACAGTAATACTTGTACCCACCTCCCATAGTTTAAGGAGTGGCGAGTTACCTCAAACGTTTCCACAACTCTGCTATAATTTTGTACTTTTAAGACTATTTTCAACATTCACCTTGTCACACCAAACTATAACTGACAACAAACACTTTTCAGAAGACCTGACCACAAATTAACAGTAACTCCAACCAGGTTCTGTTTGATTCAGCAAACCTCACAAATTGTAATATTTATATACAATATTCATGACGACATAAGTTTTGTCCAGGAGGCATACATGCTGAACGGAACAAAAACAGTTTGTTTGCTTTTAAATACACCGCTTACAAATAAACTCCACGATAAACCTTTAACCTCTGCAGTAAAAAAGGGAATTGACGAGAGGATAATAATATTACTATCAATGGCATTGGCATGAGGCTTCTCAGGTCATCTTAAAATAAATAAGAGAAAATATAGATAACTCTCTAAAAAGGAAATTTACAGGGCTGGTAGTGATTCACTGTCATACAAGCTTCTAAAAAGGCCTATTTGCAAATTTCAAGATTCACTGAAAATTCCTAAAATATTATGATAATCATAACAAATAAAAGAAAATTCCTTTGGCTGTGGATGTAGGCCAGAAAAACAGTAAGTTGCAGCTTCTAATGTGTCTTAAGAAAAGCATAAAAGTATTGGTTTTTATTTGCCATCCCTTTACAAAATTTATCTACTATCTATTAAGTATTTTACTTTTAAACGTTCAACGAATTTTTTTGGCTGCAGGATACTTGTAGAAGATATACACAGTTAACCAGAACATAAACAAATCCTTGTGACCATTCAAAGAGGTTTCAATATCTGAGTGCAAATTTTCCCAAAACGACTTGTTGGTTCAAATTTTTAAGACTGAGAATGAAAACTCTCCAATGTGTGTGAACTATGTTATTATTCAAACACAGATCTATGGGGAGAGGGGGTTTCCTTTAACCGCAACCCCCCTCACCCTTCTTGACCCAGATAACCCTTATTTACCTCAGATATAGGGTGCAGTGATTCGGATCAGGATTTATGATCTAAGGTCACTTTAATTGGATCATTGTGCATCAAAGGAACACTAAATCTCATCTGCACAAGGATTCATTAATACCTTTTAAGTACCATGATCTAAGTAGTCTCTGATACAGTGAAACCTCAGTATGACGAAGTGCCATTAAGGGACATGTTACATTTTACTGTTATTGCTGGGGTAAGTATATCTTTGTTATTCTGAGGATTTCATTACACAGAGGTTTGTTATATTCAGGTTCCACAGCTATGTAATATCATCTGATCGTGATAATACTAAGAGATGGACCAGTTAATTCTGACGTTTTACTCACTCCCCTATAAAAATCCTACATCCTCTTTGCTTAATGTTATGATGCGAGTACAAAGAATGTATTTTTTCCACCCAAAAACAAAACCTCTTGGTTTGACCAGCACAAATGAATGAACTCCTAAGCAGTATTTCATGTGGTGCAAGTTCGCTTGTGCATTAATTAAATCTTTACAAAAAATTAATAACTATTTTAGAACTTGTTTAACGATTGATACACCTGAAACTGAACTGTGTTAGATAAAGCTTAAAAGATTCCTATGCAATGTCGACTTGGTATCCTTAGGTGACGCCTCATTCTCTGTGACATCGCCATCTTCTACCTTTCGTCTGTAACTCCATAAACCTAGCGTTTTGTCCCACTGGTAATAAGAAAAACAATAAATCATTATTAGCAGTAGTCGCATCTTAAGTACTGACAGAGTAAATTTACATCACTGAATGAAGTTGAAGCAGAAGAAGATTAAAATGATGATATTATTTTTCTAAGGCTTTATTAACCTATTCACCAGTGAACTGCCCATAACTGCCCATATGGATCCACATTCCATTGTAACACATGTTACATCATCAGTTTTAATGGTCATGTATAACTTTGACATGTACAATGATGTAACTTGCGTGGGGAAAAAGATCTTTTGGGCCATAAATGAGAGAAGAGGGGAGTAGAGAAGGTGAAAATTTCACCTTCTGGACATGCCCCAACATATAAGAGGCCCCATTAATTCAGTGCCAAAAATAGAAGGCAGCTTGATGCTCAACTTAAAAACAGCATTTTGAGCAGCCTTGGTTCTTTTTGGCCCAACAATGATCAGAAAATGGCTCAGCTAGCTTCAAAAGGAGTCTTACAGCTAAATTTCCTGTAGCAAATGGGTTAATAAAAGTGCTTAATGTAATTTCCTCTTGTTTGAATTTGTCAAGCTTTTCTCCTAGTATCTCAAATAAATCCACTCTATTTTACCCACTCCTCACCCTATCACACAAGTATACTGGAACTTATTAATAATTATCCATATAACACTCACTGAGGTGCTGACAATCTCAGGGTGATATGGATGCCATGCAACATCACGAACAGTCAATCTCTGATTAGAAGTTAAAGCAAACATTTAAAAAAATTTACATTAAATATATAAAAAAGGGCCTGTTCTGATCATTCCCTGTCAGTAGCTGCAGTACTGGCAAGTTTTAGTTGCAGTTTATAGGAGTCATTTTAAAGTGCCAAAGGGAGACTTCATACTTGTAACCTGTCTACGCCTCAGAAGAGATCATGGGGCAATTTGTATTTTTCACTCTTCTAAGCACTGGATAATGGAATTTTACAAGAATCACTTTGATTTTTGCACTCTGCCTAACCAAATTGCTAAGAGCCGGCTTTTTTTTGACTGGAAATCACCGTCTAGGGACGTATTCCTAGTAACACAAAAAAATTGTGTAAATCCTCAATAAAACTTGTAAGCTAACAACTTGAGACAATTTTTTAGTATTTCCTTACATCTACTAAATGAATAAAGACAGTAGCAGGATTACTATTTTTTAAAATTGTGAATAAAACAGCCTCTTTTAAAATAACCTAAAATTTTCCCAGCCAACCACTGGAAGTAATGCCACCAAAACAGAAAGATGGGTTATGATTTCCATGGGAAAAAAAAGCTTATTTATAAAGTTGAAAACTGATTTTTAGGCCCTCTTCCCTGACAGTTGTACTGTTACCATGGTATGGTCATGAAATCATAAGTACATGCATGTAGTTATTGATCAGCATCATTAGAAAAGCAGATAAATAGTGATCTAATACACATTATCAGGTAATTAGAGAACTCTTGTCTATGAACAACCTTATAATCTCTGATCAACATTGCTATATCAAGGATACATGCCCCCTTAGCCTGGAGGTGACTTGTCCAGTCAGTGCATCATAAACTATGAGACAAGAACATCAGCATTCAAAAACAATAACATATCTAATTATAATAAAAAAACAAAATAATTTATATTATGTTAAAGTCAATTCTGAACAGATACTTTTTGGTAGTAAAACAAAATCAAATAATGAATAAAATTCACACAAAATGAACTAACTCAATACTTACTGACAACAGAACCTGTAGAACATCCAGTATAAATATATCGCTGAAAAAATTAAAAAAATATTTAATTTATTGAATAAAAATGATTACTAAAAAATAAGAAGTACACTCAACCTTCAAAATATAGCAAAGATTGACTCGTGAAGAACGTGAATATAATCATTAAGATGAATATAATAATAACATGCGTTATTAGAAATTATTGCACAATAATTTTGTGAAGGTCCCATGGAACTGTATCACTGACAGTATGATTCAGTAACTATAAGAAAAACTAAAATACTTTAAAATTATTGCTGAGAGCAAGAGACAGCAATTTATCATAGACCTGCAATCTCCTACCTGGCCTGTGGTATGCATAGGAGAGAAGTAACATCTTATAAGAGTATACAACACGCTATGGCCACGGTAAGTCATGAGAGATGAGTCACCAGCTAGTTTAGATCGTCTCATTGCTAGTGGAAAGAATGACAAAGCAGAAATAATATACAGAATACTTGAATTCATTACATGTCAGTCATTTATATGTATGTTGTTAAGAAATAAAATTATAGCATACTTTTATCATGATATTTTGATAAGTTTTGTTACTGATACACAGTCACTACTAACAGTACGATGTAACGGTAGTGATGGTAACAGTCGTGGCAGTGGCAACTGCCCCCCTGGCCCCTCAGCTAGCTACGGCCATGTAGTAGTAGAGGTAGTAGTGGTTGTATTGGTAGTGGTAGGAGAAGAAGTGGTGGTAGCTGTAGCAGAAGTGGTGACAGTAACAGTGATGGTATTTGTAGTAGCAGTGGTATGCTAATAACTACCACTGCCACTGCCACAATCAATACAATAAGACTTATCATTGTAGTGACTGTGCTATTAGTAATAGATTCGGGTGTTACAATGATAGTGGTCATAATATTAGAAGAAGTACTTCAGTGTGGTTCTATTAAACAGTACCACATGCCACTGAAATCTTGATTACTATTATCAGCAATTAATTTTACTGTTATTATCAACCATAAAAACAATGAACTCAAATGAAGGACCCTTAATCTGTCATAAGCACACCACCGAATTCTACACACTTACATTTTCTTGGGACAGGTTGCCACCGGTAATCCCACCTTTGTCCTGCTACAGCACGTTTTGTAGCCTGAAGTACAAAGTTCAAAAATAATTATGATAAAATGTAGAAAGTCTCCATTAGTAATATAATGCTTTTGTAAACTATTACTTTGCCAAATACAGTTATGGTTGTTCATGTTCTGTTAGAAAAATAGTTTCTGCATACTTGAAGTCTATAAAAACTGCTGACGCATACACAAGCTGTCTAGGGAAGTAGATCACACTGTAATCGACCTTATGTTTATGTACCTACACACATAATGTGAAGCAAAGGAAAAAAGAGAAACAAAACAAAACAAAACAACAAATCTCCCTACATACAGGGCATCATAATTTCAATCATAATTTTATTCTTGTTTTCTTTTTTTTAATCTGCAAACAGAAGGATCCTTAAGTGAAGCATAAGACAGCATCCACTCCATTAAAAAGTTACCTCGACCCCTTCTTCATTAGAAAACTTTCTCATGTCCCATAACTTGATCGTCTGATCTTTAGAGTTTGTGATAAGATGACGACCATCTCCCTGAAATCATTATCAAGCACATGTAGCCATTAGAAAACAAAATTTATAGATACTTTAATAATAAACACTTTAATGACTGGACCCAAAGGAAACAGTTAAGTTTGTTTTCGGAGAATCGAACATTGAGATTTGAGGGAAACAAAATTGACTGTTTCCCAAGGGACCAGTCTTCAAGTGATTTGTTCTTGAAGCTGGAAATTCATTAAACCTCGTTGTAACAGCGGTCGTCGGTCAACATTCATGGGTAACAGTGTACTGTTACCCTCTGACGTCATAGATTTTACAGGTTACCTGCTGAGAGATCTGGGCAGGAAACAGTTTCATTGTGAGATGTCATGTGACTTTGAAGTAACCAATGAGAGACTGCACTTTTGGGAAAAAAATTTCCAAATATATAACAATAAAAAATAATAAAATGTAGCCATCAGAAAACAAAACTAACAGACACTTTGTCACAGTATTTTTTGTCAAGAGGTGTCAGTGGAACTTGGCTAAGATGTCCTTTTTATTATTGTCACCTTTCCTTAAAGACCATTCCATAATACGGAAATCTCTCTCTTTAACTGTCACTTCTATTCAGGGTGCTAAGAAAGTCAGTTTTACAGCTTGTCCTTCAGGCAAGCTGTAGTTAGCATTTGCTAGCCCCCCACAGTTTTTTGACAAGCAGCATTGATTACACTTCTTCAGCAATTTGACACCCCCCCCCCCAACCACCTTTCCCCCAAAAACTTTTCACCTGCCCTTTGGGCAAGTTAAGAACAGAATTTACTACCCCAAGAGCAAAATCCACTAGCCCCAGGCTACTGGACATGATTTTCTTTGTACGCTGCTATTGGTCCCAAACATGCTGCCAAAATTTCTTTTATCTCTTTCTTTAAACCATAGATACCTCTGTGATAAATACATCTTACTATACTTCTTATCAATTACTAGGAGTGTAAGTTTCTTAGTTACCCTTGGATCAATATGGGTGATGCCATCTGAATGTCCAGCTAAAATTCCAACTGGATAAGGGCAGCTCTCATTCAACTGCCGGCGATCCCAAACCTTCAACAAAAACAACAACAATGACATATAACTAATATAGTTATGTTACTAGCCTTCACAATTAGTTGTCCTAAAATGTTAGCATCTTCTAGTACTAACGAAAATGAGAGGATAAATTACAACAAATACAGTATCTAAACTGGTAAAGATTAGAGAAGCAGCTTGGCTTCTTTCTCTGGGACATAACATACCTTACAGAGACCATCATCAGCACCAGAAATTAGGATTTGAGAGCTGGAATCTGCAAATGTCACAGCATCTACATCATCTTCATGGCCATGAACCTAAAAGTAACATGATGGAATGTAACGTTTCACGTGACACGTCTGTCCGTCTTCGTTGTTGTTTTGATTGGCATATGTAGCTTTACTGTTTTTTACATATTTTTTCAAGCTTTGAGCTCTGCTGTCGTGGCACCCCTGCCTAATCAAGTATTTATTATTCTTTGTTTCAGTATATACAGTATTTGTCATTCTTTTTCTTTTTTTAATTCTGTAATAAGCAAAGCTTACGAAATAAAATAAATAAATAAATAGATTGAGTATGTGAGTATAAATACAGCTTCACATGCCAGTCACCAAAAGGTAATGTACACTGTAGGGAAGGGAGCATAGCTGCCAAGGAGGCCACAATTGGCAATTAGTGACAAAATTAATGACTGAGACACTTTTTTTACAGACTTTAAAAAGGAAAAATAAACCTTTCCCTCCCTTACCCCTCCAAGCGTTAATTTATGCATTAGATTCAGCATTTCCAAAGTTATTCAAAAGTGCAAATTCCCAGCCAACCCAGGCAGAAAGAATGGCTGAGCCATCCCAAATTGAAACAGGCACTCTTAATTTACTGATTCAGACGCAGAACATAAAACATAATTAATTCACTGTACTAGGTTTAATTTGGCTCATGAAAAGTTCAGTGTCTGAAACAGACCTTATCCCATGACCTTTTTTTTTCATTACTCACCCTTAATGTCCGCTGATTACTTCCTCGATCATAAACATATATACATGAATCATTGGCTCTAGATAGGGATAATTTATACTAGAATTACACAATATATTTTTTATAACAACAAAATAACAAGTTAAGGGGGTTGTTTATTGCATGGCTATTATAGTTATAAGTATTGATACCCAGGAAACACTAATATAGAGAGCATTCAAAGGCATGAATTGAAAAATCCATTTCTTTCATTTTTTTGTCCATATAAAGCTTTTATGGTAGATTTTTATAAGTAATCTGATGTAAATTGTTCTTGCAAAAAGCTTTTTATTTTTGAGAAAAGTAAGAACATTAGTTTCTGTGTTCAAGTCTCAAAATGGCCCTGTTTTCAAACTTACATCCCCTAACATCAACAGTCCTCATGTTCGAAAACAAAGCTGCATGGAAAAATTTGGACACCTTACATCAACAGTAGAGGATACTTCAAGGGCAACAGACATCTCTGCAATTTCTGATAATTTTTTGACTTATAATGTTACAACTGCGGTGTTTTAAAGTCCTGATGAGTTGACTGTGCTTAAATAAGGTTATTCATGTGTTCATTCATTTAACTCTACAATATAGGTCATGGTTGAGGAGGTGGATAGTTTGGGGCTCCAATGTCAACTTTTAATGGGTAACCAACTCGGATATTGCTGAATATTAAATTAAACAAGAAAATAATTCTGAATCTGGAAATGAAACACATATTAAGCAATTGACTTACCCTGCTAAGATTTCTCTATTATCTTGTGAAAATTTTATTGAAAAGGCACAGAATCTTGCATCATCTGGACTAAAGAAATGACAAGTAAAACCAAAACAATTTAAAATCTTTCAAGGCAAAGGGCTCTAAAATCAAGAGATCTGAACAAAGCAAAATCAGGCCCATTAGGAGCATTGCCCATTCTTAAATAATCACCCAGGCACAAAAGTGGGGGCAATTTATTGTTCAAACAAGGTTGCTTGGTTCAGAGGGCAGTAATCAAGTCCTTCCTTCTACAAAGTGTCACTTAAACTTGGCTAACTCTAAATCTACCTACAGTAGGTGAAATGAAAAAAAATCATTACTCACTTTAAACATAAAGCAGTGTGTGTTTCATGATCCCCATAGATGTTACAAAGATGAACTACAAGTAAAATATAAATTAAGCAGCAATTAAGAAATGAAACCAGCAGGCAACAACTCTTTAGTGTGATTACTTTTTTAAACAAGATATAAGGTATACATATTGCAACTGTCCATTTGATTCAAACACTTTGTGTTACTATTTTTGACATTTTCCTGGGGGAGGGGGAGGGGGATACTGCGGATTCCAAGTGACGGAGATGATCAAAGGATTTTTTGGGGTTTAAAATTTTTGTTTCCGTGATTTTTAGGGGAAGCAAAATGTGGCTAGCATTTTTTTGGCTGGATTAGTTTTTTGGGTATTCAAAACAATCTGAAGATTCGTAGCAATGCACATGTGTCTCGGCCGCCTAGTAGTGCGAATAAAGTACAACCACACTTGTTTTGCAGTGTTTTAATATTTAACGCATACTTACATTGCACCCGTTTCACAAAATCTATGAAATTTGTTCCATAAACAAACACAAACTTTCCATTTCTAATATCTTTCTCATTCATGTTATATCACTTAATGCTTTCTGGCAATTTTTAAGGCTCGGAAATTCAACATGAGATTTTTTGGGGGCTAATTTTTGTTCCAGGGATTTTTCAAGGTTTTGATTTTTGCCCCCATTCAATCATCTCCATCACTTGAAATTTGGAGTCTCCCCGGTCATTTTAGAATCCTTATGAATTTGAAAAGCCAGAAACCCTTTTGAACAACAACAACAAGGTATGGGAGACAGACCTGATATTCCTAAATACCCTTCAGCATATAGTCTACCAGTAAGCTCTCTATTTGAGATCTTGGGTGAGAGAGCAGAGTAAACCACAAGGGGATTAGGAAGGTGACTGCTCTGGCCTGAGCCCATGTGTGGGACCTCAAAACTTAAAAAAACTATTGAAAACTGCATGCTATTTGACAAAAATAAGGCTGTTATCTCTTCCAGCTCTTAAGTGTTAAAATATAAACTGGAAATTATTTTAATTGACTTACTATAGTCAGACCAACTTGAATAGATAAGGTACTGTTGATCAGGGCTACCAAAAAAGAAACACAGAATTATTTATGAATTCATAACAACTCACATACCTCAATAATTACATTGCAATGTAAGAAAGTAGCCAACATTTTGGGATGCCAATGGTTTCCTCACAGAATGATGTGTGAGGAACAAGGGCAGAAATTCCACAATGACTAAGTGTCACTACCCAGATTTGGCTAGGGCTTCTGATTGGTCGAAGCAAATTTCAAATATAACAACCAATCAGAACCACTAACCAGATCTGGGGAGTGACACTTCGCCAGTGTGGAATTTCTGTGTTTGTTCTTCAGACGTCATTTCACAAGGAAACCAGTGGTGATGTTGGGAAGTGTTGGCTGCTTTCTCATGCTATTAATTTAGATACAAGTGCCATTTTTACAGACTATATGGCTGAAAGTTGTATCAGTGAACCAACTCTATTATTTTTAAATCTGACACTTGATAAACAACACAGTAAATTTAAAAGATAAACTTCTTTTCCATGTAAATTTAGTTATAATTCTTTTACTCTTCCCAATTAGTACCTGTAATCAGTGTCAATAATGCTCCAGCCAACATCTCTGGCTGTTATGTTACGAAATTCTTTAAACTGTCCATTTGTTGTATCATACAACCTAATATGCTGGTCTACAAAAGAGGAAAGATTAAATCAATGAAAGGCATTCAAAACTTTGTTGCTGAGTTGTATGGAAATGTATACCACAACTTTAGCTACGTACATTGTAAATGTTTAATAAGGTATCTTCATACATTAAGAATACCATTAATCTACAAACAAACTAACCTTGGCATGCTGAAAGGAACACTGTGCCATCACTTGAATATCTGCCACAAAATAACTTCTCGCGACAATGGGCTTTTGTCTCCATTTTGTTAGGGATAAAGCTAAACAACACAAAGAGCAATCATGTCATGAAAGAGGAAAGTGAGAAAAAGGCAGTGTATCACTACACTTGTCCAGAAAAATGCCTTATGAAGGACTAATAATCGCAATAATTTGACTCAAAAAGGGCAGTATTGAGTTATGAGTATTGAATTTGTATTTTTTAATTACAAGCACTATGTTTTGCTAATTTAGTGAACAATGTACCTTCTATTGTTTTCTTGACAGTAGCACCATGATGCTACCCAAATGTTGAAAGTTATTTTGGGAGTTTTTACTTGTTTACACAAAACTAAACTGTCATTGGCAAAAATATTATATATTCCCTTTTTCTCTTGGAAATTATTTTTGTTAAATCGTAAAAATATGCACTGAACTGGGGGCCAGAGATTTCCCTTGGCTACTTTCATACGAAGAAACAACATGAAAATACAAGCAAAAGAACTTCCTAACTGTTGAATTTTCCTCCTACCAATTGCAAATTAACCTGGTGATTTCAGATCATTAGAGGTTTTTGGGAAACTGCCCACCTACCCCTCCCCTAAGCCAACATTAACACTTACTTCCCACTTAGGGCAAAATGTTGGCTTAGGGGAGGGGTAGGTGCTCAGTTTCCCAGAAACGTGTAATGATCCTTGATTTTAAACCTTAGTGACAGCCCTTACAGCATAGTATACCTGTAACTGTAACAAAATAATAATAATAAATTATTAAATACATGTACTTATGTCAGGGACTTACTTGGTATAAGCAGCTGCCTTGTCACCTTGAGAAAAATTTTGTCTTCGGCAAAGAGAACTTTCCCTCTGCAAATGAAAATAAATGTTGTACAGTGAGCTAAGCTAATAACTAAGTTTCACTCTTGAGGCCCTACAATGTATGTCTTACAGTTCAAAATGAAGTTCAGGTTAAAATTTTTCAGCCTAGGTTGATTCTCAGTTTTCGTTCTTCTCTAGTTATTCATGAATTAGGGCTAGGAGACAAAGGAAACTGAGAATCAACCAAGGTTA